TGCACAAACGGTCGTTCGCGCGAGGCGACCATACTTTTCGATCCACGGATATTATCCACCTTCTATGCCTTTCAGAGTCTGCCGGGAACTTGTGGAGACTCACTCTGCTGCTTTTCTTGTACATTTCGGTGCAATTAACGGCAACACAGCTTCGCGGCATGCTGAAATGCTATGACGCCCATGCGAAACGTGCGCGCTTTTGCCCACACCCCCCGGCTCCGGCGCGATCGCAGCGCCGCCGCAGCTCCGTGACGTCAAGCCCGCGTGTCGGTCTATAGATGCATAATTTACACACTAATTCATTTTCAGAAGCGCTTTTATTCACACTCTGTGGCTTTCTAGTGCTTGCAATAGCTTCTCGGTGAGCTAATGCCAGCTCTGCAAAGGGAGAGGGATCTTCCCACGCTTTGCAGGCTGTAAAGCTGTGGCTTGCACAGCTCTAGTGTGTCACACCTCGCTCACTGGCTCCATCGCGAAGCATAGGTGCTTCATGAGTCGCGCCACACCGTAAGCCCAAAAAACGGTCGGGTGACAAACCTGGGACCATTTGTCACTGCACTCGGCTATGGTATGGTGGCATGGTCGGGGCATGAAGCAGGGGTACAGCTTGGAAATGCTGATCTTCATGACATTTTAAACACATTTTTCATTACTTTTGTGTCAAGTTGTCAGCATTCTAAAGGTGAGAAAGCAAGCAGCAGCGACAGCAAGAAAGGAAAAATTTAAGACCGCTTTCACCAAGAATCAATTACGAGCACTAGAAAGGCATGGAGTGTAATTAAAACGCTTCTAAAGGTGAATTAGCGTATAAATTAAGTACTTGTGCCTCAAAAATACAAAAAAACAATGTAAATATAGTTATAAGAATAAAAATATACACCAGGAGGACTTAAACCAAAACTACATTCTGTAAGTTTGAAATTTGACACCTTAAACCACTTGGTCACCACCCAATTTTATTTCCAGGTCGTTCATCGAGGTATATGAATTTTGTTTGCAGCTGTCGGCTAGAAGAGAGGTTGCCTTATTTTCATTTACTTTACTATTCCCACCAAAAATGACAAGTGATAAAGAATAGAACCTCATTTGGTTGGCCGAGGCACTGTGCTTGCATCAAGGCAAACTAGCCTGTCTTGCTGGGTTCATATTTTGTTTCATCACCTGTTTAGGATTCTGTTGTCGCTCATCAAAAGAAGAAAAAAAAACTGACTAATTCTGACTTATTCTGGTGTGCAGGTACCCTTGGCAGTAAACTCTGCTAAATGGGGCAAAATATAGATACTTTTTTTAGCAAATATGCATCGTTTTAGCAAAATGAGCTACACTATTTGACTAACGTGAAACAGAACGAGTCTCTCCACTTGGGTCTTTTTTCATCTCTCGCAGACACTATTTCCTGCTTTTTGTGGTTTGTATCAGACTTTTGTATTCTGTCCGGCCAAAGCATCTGTGTTACACTAAGACTGGGTTGTTTAGGATATCTACAGGTATTCTTTGCAGCAAATGGCTTCCAATCAGGAACACGAGTTTGTTCTCGGCCACCGAGAGCAAGTATTTTCAAGGTGAGCTATTGCCCGCCTATATGAGTTTTGTATTTCATTCCTCTTGAATGCCATAACCTATGTGTAGTGGTCTTGCACTAGTATTTTGTTGTCTCTCTTCTGCAAAAGCACCCAAGTTTAATTAAGACCGGGTTCTTTCTTACACATGCAGGTCTTGGTGGCAAGAACCAGCCAATCAAGGCCAGAAGTTTGTTTTTTGCCGCGCATGGCAAGTGTTTTCAAGGTGAGTGATTGATGTCTATCTGAGTTGTTTGTTTCATTCCTCACAGACACCCTATTTCCTGTCTGTATAGTGGTCTTGTTTCAGGCTTTTGTGTCTCTGTCCGGCCAAAGCATCTGTGTTAGACTAATCTTTAGGATATGTGCAGCAATTCTTGGCAGCAAGTGGGTGCCAATCAGGAATACGAGTTTGTTCTCGGCCACCAAAAGCAAGTATTTTCAAGGCGAGCTATTGCCCACCTATATGAGTTTCAGCATTCATCAAGGAGCGCAAAATCAAAGCCCGGGGGTTGTCCATTGCAAAAATGTTGACTCGGAAGCGCATAGGGAGGAAGCTTTATAAAAGTATCCACCTGCTTCTACAAGACAAACCAAAACTAAGAATGTGGGTTCCATTTGAAAAAAAAAAAAAAACACAACATTGTCGGCCCGCATTAACTAGGGAGCGGCACTGAGCAAACAAGCCACGGTACGAGTATGCTTGGTTCAGGCGTTTGTAAAGGTGGTAGATGACTCCGTGTTTTCTAAAAAAAAATATTTTTTTTTCTAAAAGTGTGGTGGTCGAATATTCAGGGATGGGCATTGAGTCGGGATGTTAAGGTAAAAATTTCATCCACATGCCGGGATTCATGTGCCTTGTCCCCCTAGCGAGCGGGACAAGGCCTTCAAAATTTTGGGTTCGCAAAAGGGGTGCGTCAGTATTGACGTCTCATTTTACATCATTCGTCTCAATTTAAAACGCACTATAAATGACATGCCTGAGATTTGTTTGGGTGTACTTCCTCTCAGCAAGTATATGGTTCTGTCTCAAAAAGGTCTAATCTGATGTTGACCGCTCCTCAGGTCTCCACCGACGATTCATCAGGACGAGACCCAACCGGGACCCTAGGGAGGAACGGCTTAAGCAAGGGAGGCTACATATATGACAGCTTCTTGCGGACAAGAAACGAAAATAGATAGATGGTGGGTGTTTCATTTGCTATGCCTTTTGGCGTGCACATTATGTTTGTTTTGTTTCAAGATTCCTGCAGAGTTCGGTTTCAACTATTGTAAAATACCGAGCATGCGCCCAGGTCGCAGAAGCGCCTACCCTCCGATTCGGAACGATCCGCAAATAAGCAAAGGGCATACCAGACACCCATCCACCTGTTTTGAGCCGTGCTCAAAATATTGAAAGAGCACATCAAGCGCCGGGTGCTGTGGCGTCTTTGCCACAATAGCGCCAGTCGCAGAGCTGACAGATCCGTGACTGGCGCAAGCCATGGCATGGCCTTTGGGAACCAGGGAATCGAGATTAAAGAAGTAGCGCAGAAATTGGAGGCGAGTGGTGAAGGTGAGCAGAGTTAACAGAAAACAAGGACGAAGGGAGTTCCGTCGCATGAGGCATCTGTGTCCCGTGCATGTAATTTTGAGTGTGCTGTAGGTGGCTACCCAAAAAAATTGTTACTTGGACGTAACTAATCGCAAACCTCTCTTGCAGTTTCCATGGCTTACAAGCCAGCCGGCGCCAGTTCGTTCTCGTTCAAAGGTGAGGATTCTAGATTTTCTAGATTGCTCTGAAGCAGCAATACTGAAGCCAGACAAGCGGTACGGCATATTTAATTGACAGAACGACTGGGGACGCTTTCACTGAAGCTTGTTTTGCTGCAATACACGTGTGTATTGCAGCAAAACAAGCTTCAGTGAAAGCGTCCCTACTCGTTATGAGCTCCGTCAATTAAAGGTGCCGTACCACTTGTCTGTCTGGCTTCAGTGTTGCTGTAGGCGACAAAACGTGTGCCCAGTTTTGTCACAAGAGGCATATTATGTCACGCACATGTAATTTTGAATTTATCCGGCTTAGTGTGCTGTAGGTGGCTGGTCAAAGAAATTGATACTTGGACGCAGCTAATCGCAAATCTTTCTGGCAGTTTCTACAGCCTAAGAGCCAGCAGGTCCCAGTTTGCTTTTCTTCAAAGGTAAGAATTCCAGATTCCCGAAGCAGGAATACTGAAGCCGAACGACTGGGAGCTCCTGCATGGAAGCTTAGTTTTCTGTAATACAAGCGGGCGACATTGACACGTGCCCAGTTACGTCGCAAGAGGATATCTATATCCCGCGCATGTAATTTTGAATCTTTCAGACTTAGTGTACTTTACGTGGCTACTCAAAGTAACTGCTACTTGGACGCAACTAACCGCAAATCTCTCTTCCAGTTTCCACGGCCTACAAGCAAGCAAGCACCAGTTCGTTTTTCCTCAAAGGTGAGCATTCCAGATACTCTAGTTAGGTGCGAAGCAGGAATAGTGAAGCCAGACGAGCGGATACGTATATTTAATTGACCGAGCTCAGAATGACCTGTGGCAGTGGGATTGAAGCTTATTTTTCCACAATCAAACGCAGACGTAATTTTGAGTCTACCCGCTTGGTGAAGGATTGCTACTTGTCGCGAACTAATCACAAATTTTTATTTTGCAGTTTCTATATGGCTACAGCTAGCAGGTGCTGTTTTCATTAAGGTGAGGATTTCACATTCTGTTTTCAAACATCAAGTTTTTGAATGAGAGTCCTAAACAATTAACTTTCTTTTGCAGTAAATGCCAGATCCTCCAGTTCAGGAATATGTTAAATATATTTGGTATGGATAAGTCCAGTGTTTTGCTTCTTTATTCACAATTTCACAACAGCAACATTTTTTTTAATTTATCACTCAGAAATACACACAAGAAGAGGCTGCGTTGCAGAGAAATGTTGCGCTGAACGTGATATTCCAACTCGTTTATAGTTTTATTGGTAGCCGATATAATATATTGGATTCCAATATCCATAATACGCTGAGTATATTGGAATCATAAACCCTTATTGGATCCCCATACGACACATGGGGATCCAATAAGGGTTTATACGGTATTGGATTCCAATATTTTCAGCGTATTATGGATATTGGAATCCCATAACAAATCCTTATTGTAATACAATACAATAAATGTAATGTTTTCCAATACACTGTCTATATTGTATTGCAATACAATAAAAAGATATTGTTTACCAATATCCATAATACGCTGTTTATATTGGAGTTTTCCAATAGGGGTGTGCCGTGAAGATCTCCGAACAACGGAGCGAAAGACCAACGAGCAGTTAGCAGCACAATCGGCGATACTTTCCGACCAGTTCACCAGAGCCTTCAATCAATGCTCCACCCAGCTGACTGGCGTCAAATCTGACATTGTAACCGCAATGAAGGCCCACGTGGCCGAAGATCTGCGTGCACAGAACGAAAAACTGATGAGCGCCACGCAGAGTGCGTGTGACGGAGCGATTAGTTTTTATAGGCCTGAGACGTATTACTGGTACTTTAAAGATTGGGAAGCCCTGAAGAAAAATGCGTCAAAAAAGGGAAAAGACGATGCTAAAAGTTCCCCCATGTATGCATGTGGCTACAGGTTCTTTCACTCGATCATTCTCATCAAGAACGATAGGCAGCTGTGTTTGGGAATTTACCTCGGTATAATCCCGGGAGCCAACGATTCGAGACTTGAATGGCCCTTCAGAAAGACTTACACGCTCGGTATCGTCAATACCAAGGACAAAGCAAGGAATATATTTCATAAGGTAGAGGCTAGTAAATTTCCAACAAGTTCCTCCTTTCAGAAGCCAGAGGCAGCGGCCAATCTTTATTTTGGGACTGGGGGCTTGTATGCCGCTGACAAGATTGAAAGTGATGGGTTTGTTAGCAACGACTCTCTGGTCATTTTCTTTCAAGTCGAACCGTAGGGGACTAACCAGATACGCCACTAATTATCGAGACAAAAACCAAACTTCAACTAGGATCGACGTTTGTTTCTTGTATAAATATTAAAGTAGGAACTACGATATAAAGGAGTGCAAGTGTTTTGTTCTTGTTTTTTTTTTTCTTTTTCGAAAAATAACAACGTCAAAGAACGCGGTGTTTGTGTTTTTGTTTTTTTCACTTTGTATATTTAAATATTCAAATAATAAATCGAAGCAAAGTGTCTTGACACTACGACGGAGCATGTCTGATTTTAAAACAGCGTGTAGTTCCACGAACGATCACTCGCACGGCGCGTTGAAGTGTTCATTGGCACGGAACTCCTGAAATGTGCAGCACCCTCTGCCGATGTGCGGCACGACAAGGCGCCCTCGCGAATAAAAATATCGATTCACGTTGGTCTGTCCTTTTGCAATTTTATACCACAAAAAAAGGCCGGATATGACGAAGCAGGGTACGTATCGGCTTTATGTATTCGCTTGGTTTTCTTTCTTTGTTTTTTTATTTTGAACTCTCAATGGTTCGAGAGAAGAGGTCGCTCAACTTCCAGAATGCACGGAGCGTCCTAGTCGGCTCGAGCGTACATCCGAACTGCCCCACAATTCCCCGCGCCGCGCACGGTTCATTGTAAGGACGCTGAGGGAACGTTGTGCGATTTTTCGAAAGGGTCTATCACGATGCGCGTCGAGTTGTGCATGTTGTGTATTGCCTCCTCAGATGAAGATAAAACCGCGTGTCGGTGAGAGCGACGGCAGTTGGCGACATGCGCGAGGATCGGTCTCTTCATATTTTCGTATCCCAATACTTGAGTATGAAGCCATTGTACGACCTATTCTAGAATATACGAATACAATGTGGTATTCCCACGTAGCTAGGAAAAGAAATCAAGGAACTTTATTGCCCGCAAAAGCTTTGCTGGCCGTTCTATATTTAATAATTTCCTATATGGCGTTTGTTCATCAGGTTTACTTGCAGAAGCAGATATAGAATCATTGCGGATTAGAAGAAAAAAAGGTTATGGCATTTATATTTTGTTTACAGAATCGTTAATGCCAATCATAACATATACATAATCTGTTTAAGACATAGCATAAGTCATGCAATGACTATAAAACAAAAGTTTAGCTATAATGTGTTCAGAGATTTCTTTTTTTTTTTTGCCCCTTGCAAAATATTTTATGGGACTCTTTTATAAGGAAAATAAACGGTAACCGTTCCGTCACAAGACATGATAGTTTACGCAATACCGCAGCCACGAGTAAAAACTGCTGAGTTAGATATGTAATTCTAAAGAGTCGTATCTATGCATAACCAGTGTTGATATGACTTTACTATACTATACTTAGTTTCAGCTTAAGTTTAGACGCAGCCGTCGCTACGAACTGAGGTCAATCAAGCAACGCGAAAGTCGCAAGTCAGTGGGCATCTTTTTATGATTGGTTCAGCCATGATAGAAGACGTACATAAGCCTAGCGGACACCGTGATGGTGCGCCTTTGGCGCTGTCTGATTGGTCCTATCAGCTCGTAGCGTCAGCTGCGTCTGGACTTAAGGTAAAACGAAGTATAGTCACTATTTTTATTCTTTGTTTTATTTACTTTGATTTGTCTTCAGGTCTTCGTCATTTTATGGCACTTTTTATAATATATTGAATCAAAGTCACTTTTTCTATGCTTTCTTCTCTACTTTGCTTCGCAATAAGTAAAAGCGCAGTCGAAAGCAAGATGACATGCAAACGCGGACAGGCGCACTAAGAGTATGAATTTTTGTCAAAAAAAGAAAAATCGCAGGAGCACGCTTAAGCTTCGCCTCTAAGAATGGAACGCGATAGCTAAACATGTAAACCCCCACTCGATCCCAAGTCTTGCAAGTGTTAAAAATTAAAAAAGAAAAAGCAGCTCAAAATGGTCAGGATAACGGACAAGCAGAAATTTAATTTTTATTGCCCAACTTAGATTCTTGTATAAACTAAAGTCAGACAGTCACGTGTTGTATTTTCTTACTAATCTGGGCACATCTAGTGTCTCAGTCATAAAAACACTTATAGTATCCTCAATCATCCGCACTGGAGCGTACCGGGGCACCGAGGTGCGCCCCGTCGCCTCCTGTGCTCCGCCGCTATTCGTTTTCAAGGGCCGCTCATTTCAGTGCTTCCCCGCCATTTCCTTTCAAGGGCTGCTCCAGACACGGGACTCGCGCACTGGCGCTTTTGACGCTACTTGCAAGACAAACGCAAACACGTCTAGGGGCTTTACGCAAATCAAGAATTTAGCGAAAGGTCCATATTGTCGGTCACTTCCGAACCGCCAAGCATCATCGCAGGCTTCCAGCGCCCTGAAAAGCGTGCACGACCGCAAGGCGACTCCTAATGAGGAGAAGCCGAACCGCACTGAACCGTTGGAAAATGAGGCGAGCGAGGTCGACCAATGGATTCCGCATTCCAAACCGCGATCCCACGTGCCGGAACGATGCGCCCGACGCACGAAATATCCGGCTTCGGTAATAGGGACGCCGCTGTAATGGCGTTCCCAACTCCCTTCGAGTACGGGGCACGGGAAATTGGCTGGGAAATTCTAAACGAAGCGGTGAAATGTATGTAGCTGTCCGAGACAGGACGCCCGACAACGATGTTATCGATGACTGCGGGCAAAACGTGCACTCTCCGCTGATTACTGAGGCCGGCCGACCCTGAGAAGTATTATTTCGGATGAGCAGGGAAGTGCTGGATCTCGACCCGCTACAAATGCGGGCGTGATTTCGATCGCGCAAGCCGCGCTTAGCAGACATGGGGGTGGGCTGTGGATGCATGCACGCGCGTTCGAATGAATACGCCTTGATTTGAACGCAACGCCGGAACAATTTTGAAATGGTGGAGCAGGCCCACGAACATCGATCGGCGCAATACAGCGTTTCAATAAAGGGCCTCAGGCTGGTTGCATCCTCAGAGTTCGTACATGCGACGAAAATATTGCTCGCTTTTTTTTCCTTTCTTTCTTTTATTTCAAATCGACGCAATAAAATTGTTATCTTTTGGTTCGAAATGTTGCTGAGAATGGAGTTAGAATAAAATGCCACTATTCACTGTCACCGTATGGTGTCAGCCTATTTCCTAGCTCTGCGTACCGGAGGCACTCCATGCGGTGTTTTATCAAAAGTATTGGGGGCCAGTTGAGCTAGTTCACATCGCCCAGGCACGTAGCCAAAAAAAGGGGGGGGGGGGGGGCTCTTCTTGCCCTCCCCCGGAATCTTTCATTTTGCTGGGACCTGATCCCCCCTCCCCCTCATACAGCATTTTGTCATGGGCACCCCCCCCCCCCTCCCCCCGAATCAAAAAGAAAAATCCTGGCTACGTGCCTGATATCGCCCAATGTAAAAATGCGGAATGCAAGGAAAACACTACAAACATTGCTTTCCTATGCCAGATCCGGTTAATGAATCAATGTGTCCTAGTACTTTGTTTTAAAATAAAGCGCGTACCTTACCGGGTAAGTTAACGAATTAGCGTAGGCACGAATGAGCAAGATGCTGGTGACAAAATTTTATGTTTTACCTTCCAACTTTAAAAGTGACGGCACTGAGGCAAATTCTCGCCTCAGTGCTGTCACCTCCGGTGTTCCCCAGGGGTCTGTTTTGAGACCCCATCTGTTTCTGATTTGTACTAATGACTTACCAATATTTGTATCATCCCCTATTAGCTTATTCGCAGATGATTGTGTAATATATCGTGAAATTACTAATGAATCCGACGCGGCACTTCTTCAAGCTGATTTAGGCGCAGTATCGGAATAGTGCAACTTATGGCAAATGACTCTCAATACTAACAAATATAAAACTATGAGGGTGTCTCGTCGTAACACATCACCATCATCATACTCAATATGTAATATTCAGCTGACATCTGTAACCTCTTTCAAGTATCTCGGTGTTCAGGTCACTTCTAACCTGTCATGGAAAACTCATTCTGATCATATAATCGCTAAAGCAAATTCAATGCGTGGATATTAAAAAAAAAACTTTTCCTTAACCCCTATGTCGCTAAAACTTCTTTCTATAAGCCTTTAATACGTTCAAAATTGGAATATGCCGCAGCAATCTGGGATCCAGGTCACTCAACGCTTATAACAAACATCGAAACCCTGCAAAATCGCGCCGCACGATTCATAGTCTGCAGCTATCATCCCACCGCAAGTCTCTCATCTATGAAAACCACCCTAGCCCTGCCTCTTCTTTCCTCACGTCGGAAAATATCTCGTCTATGCCTTTTCCATGAAATCTATCATTCCAACCCTTCACTGAAAAACAAAATATTCATTAGCCCCCCCCCCCCCCCCCTTTCATTTCTTCCCGCATTGATCACAAAGTTGGCATACCTCATTGAGAAACTTCAGCTTACACAAACTCATTCATGCCGAGGACGTCATCTGAACGGATCCACCTTCCTGTATCATAACTATTCCATCAATAGATTTATTTAGAAAAGCTGTAACTACTCACTTTTGTTAGGATTATGCCGTGATAACATTTATAACCAAGTTGCATTGTTGTTTGAATTTTATGCAGAGCCAATATTTTATGTCTACCCCCTGTGTAATGCCCCTGGACCCTGGGGGTATTGAATAAATATATAAATAAATAAATCACTAAGATTATTTGGAACCTCGGGTACTCACGGGCTCCCCTACATCTCCAGCTCGAACCAGAAGGGTCGTGTTATTCCAGTCGGTGGTCTCCTCGGGACGATTTGTCTTTTTCGCGTCCTGGGATCAACAAAGAGTCTGAACGAATAAAAAGGCGACGTCACCCAGGATTACTTTTTTTTTATTATTATTTTTTACGGAAATGAATCGACGACAACCGTTGTTCTGCACTTTATGTATTCACTAAGAATGACGCTAAACTAAAATTATAGATATATTTTAAAGTGCCGCAATAAAAT